TGCTATGTGTTGCTCTCGTTCATGGACTGGCTTCCCCCAAGTGCAGGCTGTCCCATAAGCTGTAGAACGGAGCGGTGGGACAGTATGGCAAGAGGTGGGACATGGGCTCTGGATTCCTGAACTGATGCTTCTTTGAGAAAGCATAGCGTGTAGATCTTCAAACGTGCCTTGTCAGAATTCCCTACGCCTTCGTCCTGTCCTGTTCTGTCTCCCAGTAACAGCTCAAACAGTCTGCTGCTGTAGCCTTCTTTGCTTAACATCTTCCTTGACAAGATTTCCCATTACTTTTTTCCCTTGGCCTTCAAGTTCCTTTATTTTCTTGGTGTCGATTCACACAGCTATTCCCACTGCCGCTTCTAACAGCAAGCTCTCCATCCTTCTGTTCTTTTTTTAATTCTTCTCTCAGCAAAGATTTATAACCCTCTGTGGCATGAACAGGAGCCTCCATGATGCCTCTCTCTCCTCTCAGACACTGGGTGATCCTGCAAAAAATATGAGGACAACAAGCCAGGGATCCTAATCTGTCCTTCAGAGCAGATATTTATTACTTCATATTTTTTCTGCATGAGAATAGGAGGACATTGTTTTTACCTCAGACATAGCCTACTCTGTGTTTCATTCATTTGTCTTCTCAACCAGCCTCTCTTTTTGTCTCACAGTAAAAACATTGCAATGAAATGGAATTAAATGGTTCCTGTGGATATGAGGAGGTGAAGGTGTGCCGTCACAAGGTTGTGGAGTAAAACATCCTTAGTTTAGACTCCCAGATGATTTTCGGGCTGTGGTTACACTGGAGGCTGCGAACTTTGGGCAGTTTATGAATAAAAAATGGGATAGCTTTTCTAGGCACCAAGGCAAAGCATGCTATGCATGGTGAAAAATTCATTGTCCAAATGATTAACAGGTCAAGGAGGCAATCATATACATTCTTCTATGCCTAGAAATCTGATTGACCCTAGACTTAGTGAAAAATTACTGTATGCTCTTCCACAAGGAAAAAAAAAAAAAACAAGCGCAAGTTGGCTGCACCTAGCAACAGCTAAAGTCTTTTATTGCAGGGCTGTGCACCTTCCAGCCAACAGTTCCTTCCTCAGTGCTGGTGATACCCATTATGAAGAGGTAAATATTCTGAAAATGGATTGGTGCCTTCTCCAACTTTATATTTAGGTATGTCTGTACGGCTGGAAATTGATTCTGTAAGAATTTAAAGAAGTGAATGATTCCTTAGGTAACATATGTCTCCCCAGACCTTTGAGCCTAAGGGCTTATCTAATCAATTTTGTATCAGTTGAACTATATAGCAGTCTGGACAATTAAAAGAGGGTATTGAATACAGCTGGTTTGTGATATGGAAAATGAAGCAATACCAGAACAGGTATTAACTGAGGCTGGTGTGAGAGTCAGTCATTCAGGAAGAACTGCCATGCAATTAGAGTGAGCTGCTGAATATCAGGTAATTGCAAAACCTCACCTAATCTGCATTACAAATAAACTGGAGATACATTTGTTATGAACAAAAAGCAAGCCATCTCATCAACGTGCCTTTCCTGGGGGAAATCGCCGTTTAGGGCAAACAATAGTTAATTTGAAACCGAACTGAGAGGTAGACAATTTGCACCACACACAGAAATTTGTGGGTCAGTACAACAGACACAGCTATTTCCTCACAAGGACAAAACCAGATGTTTTCTAATTCATTTGTTTGGAGATAATGATTTGTGGTCAGCTGAGAACAGTATTTGTGTTGCTCTTCAATTAAGCAGACAGTTAATGGACTATTATTTTGATGGCTCTGCTACTGAAAACAGAAAGACTTAACTGGATCTTAGCAGAGAGTGGGTCAGGCCTGTAACATTACCAG